CACACAGTGAAATGATAAAACCCGAGATTTTAGCTGAAGAATAAAAGCAGCTCCTAAACCATAACAATCTATTTCTTCCTGTCTAAATGTAGTCCACATGCTTCACCCAGAGAAGCAAAAGGGATTTTCCCTTAAGTAGGCCAGCTTCAGGCTTTCGTGCTGTTCAGTTAGGTACCTGCTCTGAGAGAGAAACGTGCAGATATAGATGTGTGCCTCAATACGTGGGAACCAAATGCAATTGGAATGAGATGCCATTTCAGAGGAAGTAAAACAGGACAGGCTTCTGCCTCAGGATTTCCTTTATCCACTGTTTTCCACCATCACCAATGAGACTAACCATCAGGGCACAGCTACTCTAGTACCTGAGCATTTGCAAACTCAGGCCTGATGATGAAATCCCAGTTTCATAGAACGATGATTGGATAATAGTTTGTAACGGTAGCAAACAGGCTATTTTTAGTTTTACAGCAGAGTTGTTACAAGTACAGATAGCACTTAAATGATTTTTGGTTTAGCTCTCACTTCACACCAGAACTGTTCAGGTGATTGAAACTTCATCGGTTGTTTTGGGGTTTTTAACCAGGTCATCCCATTAAATATATTATTATCTTTAATTTATGTTGACACACTGCTGATTATTTTAGTTGCTATTATTCACTTCCTATTTGACACTTTTATCCACCCTCACCTCCCCCCCAAAACATCCTTCTTGTGTGCAAAATCTTGATGAAGCTCTAAACACAATGAGAACGCTCTGCAGGAATATTTTTTAGCAGTATTTGAATTTTTATGCATAATATTGAGCCTAGCTTTTTCCAGGAATGCAATCAGCTTTATATACTTACATTTGGAAAAGGAAGCTGCTTTTTTTTTTTGTGGTAAGAAATATGTTTCTTTGATTTCATATATTAAAATAACAAATTGCTTGATCCTTTTGGCCTTCAGCTTCCCCCTCTACAGAAAACAGAATGTTCTGAGAGCAGGTATTTCCACAGCCTGTGGCTTCTGCAAGACTGGAACTTGCAGTCCTCATTCACATACACTCCTGCTGCAAACTGCAGCAATAAGTGATGTTGCATAAAACAGGGGGAATAGGTAAGTAGATGTGAATTGCTCTAATCAGTAGATGATTTCATCATATGCTTCCCTTTTTTTGGTCCATGGCTTTAGCAAAAGTAAAACATTTCATTAAACTGAGAAGAGCTTTAATCAGTGTAAAATAATGACGCCACTCTTAAGTCTCACCTCTCATTTGAGATTAACATTTGAAAATCAGTTTACCACATAGACAAACTACATATAGGGACAGACACTCAAGTCCCTTACATTAGACCAGTGGAACATATGTGGATGTCAGGGACACAAATACACCAACAGGCTGTGACCTGCCCAGATGTTTCTTTGTAATCTCCTCCCTCATTTCCCTCTCCCAGAGTGGGAAAAATAGCATCAAAACAAGCTGCAGTTAAAGTACTATAGATAAAGGAATCACAGGCTGAAATAAGTGCTAAGAACTAGTTCATTCTGCAGACCTGCACTTTCTCTCAAATTATTTGCCTCTAGAGTCACAATGACGTTGTATATTTATATAGAAAAAAATCCTGGTGAAAAAGGGAATTTGTTTACAGCCATTTCCAGATAACAGGCTCAAAAGCAATGTAAGCTCAGAAGGAAATGCCATTTTGCAGCATGCAATTTGTACTCTTCACTCCAGAAAAAAGTTACAGAATAGAAATTACTTGCTGGCTCTGACAAATAACTTCCTGATGAGGGACAGCACTACAGAGGAGGGTACACTTTTGTTTCATTATTAACTTTTTCCTAATTCCTAAATACAGATTTTTCCCTTTAAGTCTAAATCAGTATCTAATTTCATGAACTGAGATTTTCTGCCTTTTGTTTGTTTGCTTTAAATACTATTTTATAGCCCTCCTAACTGAAAGTATAACAGGCACGAAAAACATTAGCTCCTTTTCCAAACAACACAGTCCGACACACGTACTAACTACCATCTTATACTGAGGCTGTACGAGCTTATCACAACTGTCAAGCTGTCACTTGAAGTATAATTCAATAACCAGCCAAGTGAAAAGCTATTTGACTTAAAAGTATATATATATTAAAAAAAAGGCATGTTTCTAGTGCAAGAATATCATAAACCTTCTTCCTTTAAGACATGAAAACCATACACAAACCTTTCACAAGCAAACAAGTACTATAAATGCAAAAAGCACAAAACCACTACAGATTAAATACTGCCATGGTATTGTGTTCAAACTGCTGAAGCACTCCACAGAAACAGTTGAGGTGACTACATCCTTTTTCCTCCCCACACGCCCCAAATAATTTCCTACACATCTCCTTCTATTGGTGGGAGGCTAACATGGGGAATCAGGTGACACCACAGGTTATTTGTGGCTTGCTGTTTTGCCCTGAAATTTCATAGCTCAATGTTGCTTGATTATGGGCTGACTTCCGTTTCACCATGCTTATTCCTCCCCTGCAGCCAGGAATCCCCATTCCTTCCTGTGACTTCTCTCTCACAGTTTCTAATCCCACTAATCTGATTCTGGGGCATCTCCTAAGGCTCAGCTCAGATGCATGCCCTGAAGTCATGAGTCACTTTGGAGATGGCAGTTTACATGTGAAAAATGTTACATGTAATTTTGAATTTCATAGAAGAGAGTTATCTCAGTTTTACCTCCTCATTAATTTCCTCCACCTCGCCCCAGGGTGCAGTTTTCGGAGGTTTCCTTTCCCCAGCCCCATAGTGGAGTCACATAGGCAAGTAAGTGTCATCTCTTGCAGGTACATGGCATTCATGGCTTAACCACTCCTCCACACCTCTCTCTCCTCCTTTTCCCAGTTTGCAGAAAATGGGAATTTCCTTTTGCCCTTCTACTGCATGATAAAACCCAGCTTGCTATTTCAGAGGAGAAGAGGGAAACTGAGAGGGAAACCTTGAAGAAGTTTCTGTCGTGTTTATTAACAGCTGCTTCATAGAATCATAGAATCATAGAATTGTTAGGGTTGGAAAGGACCTTAAGATCATCCAGTTCCAACCCCCCTGTTGGAACACCTCACGCTATATCATATCACCCAAGGCCTCGTCCAACCTGGCCTTGAACACGGCCAGGGATGGAGCATTCACAACCTCCCTGGGCAACCTATTCCAGTGCCTCACCACCCTAACAGGAAAGAATTTCCTTCTTATATCCAACCTAAACTTCCCCTGTTTAAGTTTTAACCAGTTACCCCTTGTCCTGTCACTACAGTCCCTAATGAAGAGTCCCTCCCCAGCACCCCTATAGGCCCCCTTCAGATACTGGAAGGCTGCTATGAGGTCTCCACGCAGCCTTCTCTTCTCCAGGCTGAACAGCTCCAACTTCCTCAGCCTGTCTTCATACACTGCAAGCAAAGACTACCTACCATCTTAGCAGGTGACTCACAGTTTTCTGTATGTAGTACCACAGAAGCATGGGTCTGAATCATCAGTTTTTTACTTCTCTCTTACTATTTATCCGAGAACCTTTCTGAAACTCCCAAAGATCTTTGTTCTGCATACACCTGCTCAGTTAAGTCAGAACTACCAAACACAACAACCTAAAGAAATGTCAGGACTCTTAGGGTATACAGTTTTGTGAATCTGTGTTACAGAATCATAGAATAAGTATTCTATGGGTTGGAAAGGACCTTAAGATCATCAAGTTCCAACCCCCCTGCTATGGGTAGGGACACCTCACACTAAACCATGTCACCTGTCCAACCTGGCCTTGAGCACCGCAAGAGGTGGAGCATTCACAACTTCCTTGGGCAACCCATTCCAGTGCCTCACTACACTCACAGTAAAGAGCTTCTTCCTTATATCTAACCTGAACTTCCCCTGTTTAAGTTTGAACCCATTACCCCTTGTCCTATCACTAGAGTCCCTAATGAAAAGTTCCTCCCCAGCATCTTTGTAGGCCTTCTTCAGATACTGGAAGGCTGCTATAATGTCACCATGCAGTATTCTCTTCTGCAGGCTGAACAGCCCCAACTTTCTCAGTCTATCTTCATATGGGAGGTGCTCCAGTCCCCTGATCATTCTCGTGGCCTCCTCTGGACTTGCTCCAACAGCTCCGTGTCCTTCTTATCTTGAGGAGAACGGAACTGTGCACAATACTCCAAGTGAGGTCTCACAAGAGCAGAGGGGCAGGATCACCTCCTTCAACCTGCTGGTCATGCTCCTTTTAATGCAGCCCGGGATACGGTTGGCTTTCTGGGCTGTGAGTGCACACTGCCAGCTCACATTCAGTTTCTCATCGACTAACACCCCCAAGTCCTTCTCTGCAGGGCTGCTCTGAATCTCTTCTCTGCCCAGCCTGTAGCTATGCCTGGGATTGCTCCGACCCAGGTGTAGGACCTCGCACTTGTCATGGTTAAACTTCATAAGGTTGGCATCAGCCCACCTCACAAGTGTGTAAAGGTCCCTCTGGATGGCATTCCTTCCCTCCAGGGTATGAACCGAACCACACAGCTTGGTGTCATCAGCAAACTGGCTGAGGGCGCACTCAATCCCACTGTCCATGTCACCGACAAAGATGTTGAACAAGACCGGTCCCAACACCGATCCCTGAGGGATACCACTTATTACTGGTCTCCAACTGGACATAGAGCCATTGACCACACCTCTTTGTGTGCAACCATCCAGCCAGTTTTTTATCCACTGAGTGGTCCATCTATCATACTGATGTCTCTCCAATTTAGAGACAAAAAGCACAATCCAAAAAGCACAACTGGCTACAGCGTCTGACACTTTGGATCATCAGTGGGTTTAGGTGACCTTAAAGCACTATAAAACATACCTTCTCGCTCGGTCTTCCTCATAGCTGTATCAGAAAAAAATAAACGTGTAGCAAGTTCATTGCATCATTTCAAAAATCTAAATCAAGTCACCCAGGGAATATCCCCTGAATCTTCTTTCCTGGCAGATAAACACTGCAAAAGCAGCCTGTGTTTACCTTAAGTGAACATTAAGTTCCCTGAGGGTTTGCACTCTCTTGGGCAACAGGTTTGGAGTCCTCACCGGGCTGGCAAGTGTTACTCTTCTGTATCAGACTCCTTATTTCAATATCAAGCTTTTGGCTTTCACACCTGCTTAGAATGAAATAGCAATGCTAAACTTCACATGGAAACTAGAAGCACAGAGAAGGTACATTTACCAGCTGTCTTCCCAGTCTGACAATGCAGACAGCAGAGCTAGTCCTGCACCACGCTCCTGCTACCTTCCTTCCTCGTATGCAGTCGCAGAGTGCTAGGGCAGTGTCACACAGGTTGTCTCCAAGTGCTGCCATCAAAATGGCTAAATTAGTTTTCAACTCCAAAACTAGGCGCTCAGTTCATAGAGTTTTCTGATGGCACATTTTCTTTTCTGTAACAATTTGTAACAGATACCTGACATGCATTTTCAAGACATTTTTTCTCCCGATAGTTCCTTTTAAAAAACACTCCCATCTTGTAAAAGTGGTCTATTGTGGACACTAAAATGGTGGGAAAATTCTTTTCTTTTGGTCTGTTTGCTAAGGTCACACAGTACTTAAGGGCTAGCCCAAAATTCACAGAGCTAACTAGCAGTCAAGGCTGATTCACTTCATACACTATAATGGGAGGAATGAGACTTTTACAATATGGATCAGGGCATAATTAAAAGCAATCCCCAAAGCCCTTGAGCAACCCAGATTTTCAAGAAATACTTGCCTCTTTTGTAAGCTCAGACCTTTGTTTCTAGTCAGCTTGAAACAAATCTAAGTAATGCATGACCAGAAAGCAAACTGCAAGACTCAAAAGTATTATCAACCTGTTATGGTAAGATTACTTCTTGATTCAGATAAACATATTAAATTCTTCATTTGAACTA